CAGACTGGTGCCCAATATGCACGTGCATAAGCATTCATTCCCTCATGGCACTAGGCCTGTCACGATAACAACTTTTTGTTGTGTGATATATTGCCCCAGAAATAACTGCGATAAGCGATATTATTGTCATTTTAAAGACCATTTTATGCCACTGAATATATAATCATAATGTAACGGCATAATAATGCAAGAAGGCCTACTACACACTTCCAAATGACAACAAACTTTTATTTTTTTTAAGAATATTTAGATCATGGAAATTAAGTATCAAAAGATTAGATACCTTAAAAAACCTGAATAAAAAGTAAATAAACATTTTCTAACAAAAAGTGCAAAGTAACAAGTTGAAAAAAAGAAAAATGCACAAAGAACTTGTATGGAGATTTTTCCATCTACAGATTTTTCCCTGACCTTCTTTTCTCTGTAAATTAAGGGTGCACACTATTGCTGAAAAACACAATCACTACTTAGCAGTCAGATGTCCGTATGCACAAAGACACAGATCCCTAAACAAGACCATATCTGCAGATGAAACTTTTTTTGTAGAAGCGTTTTTTAAATTTGAACTAGCACCTCATGACTACTACACCACGTTATGCACGAGATGCTGCAAAAGACACTGGCGCAAATGGAATGTACAAAACATGGTGACATTAATTTTTAAGTAAATATAATGGCTGATATATTGCGTCACCAAAAATGATTGAGGTCATGTACATATATTGCGCGATAAGTCGATATATTGATTATTGCGACAGGCCTACATGGCACATCATTACAGACTGTGTGGGCCTGCCAATTCCTAAAATCAAACAGCTGTAAGACCTCCCTCTTTTATGCCAACTTCGGTTTATAACAAAACAAAAAAAAAGTACATTTCAATTATCAGTATGGCTAAATACTTGTATACCAACAGTCAATCAATCGACTGACTAGTTTTCTAATTTATTTTTTAGATTTTTATAATTTTTATTGGTCTGTAACGTTTTTAACATTTAATAAATTCATACATAGATGTTTATCACGATGTGTCCCAAACTGTCCCTGTTCCGACCAACCTTTATCAACTAAAAAATAAATAAGATTCAAGCATTCAATTTAATATAATAATAAAAAAAAAAAGATGAACATGAAGATGAAGACTTCTTATTTAAGTAAATTTTAAGACATTGTATAATTATAGTTAATAACTATTTTAGTATTTTTCATTTTTTGCTTTTATTTTTTACTCTTGGTTTGTAAGTCAATGTATTGAAATATTTTTTTTTTTTGCACATTTCTGGCTTTATTTGATATGACAATGTGACTGGAAATAATTTGAGAGAAGAAAGAGGAATAGGATGCAGCATTTCATTTAAAACAATAATTAATATTATATATTATTATTATTATTTTTGAATTAATGAAAAGACATTCAGATAGACAGGTTTTGACATTATTAATTAATAAATTAATGAATTAGTTCATTCAAGCAACAACGTCCTATGTAAATTCTGCCCAAAGAAATGCATCTGATCTGTATGTAATGGACATGCACATATACCAGGATAATACAGAGTTTCTTAAAGGGGTCATATGATGTTGCTAAAAATAACATTAATTTGTGTATTTGGTGTAATGAAATGTGTTTATGCGGTTTAAGGTTCAAAAAACACATTATTTTCCACATACTGTACATTGTTTCTCCTCTATGCCCCACCTTTCTGAAATCGATCTCTTTCTGAATTCGCATCTATTTTTACAAAGCTAATCGGTCTGAAAAGCGAGGTGTGCTGTGATTGGCCAGCTATCCAGTGCGTTATGATTGGCCGAATCCGCTTTCACAGTGAAAGCCGATCCGGCGATCCAAAGCGCAAGGTTGTTGTATTTCCTCAGCAACCAGCACGGATCAGCTCCAGGCATGACGAAGCAATATCGTCCTCTTTTGGAAGGCCAAACAAAGTAGTTTCGCTTTCACAATGAATCACACAGCGCCTTCACGACATGGCGGCAACAATACTACAGCGAGAATAAAAGTTACGCCTTCTTTCTTTGCGTGAACATTTGGGCGGCGTTATGCAAATCTTCCCACATCGTGATGTAGATATGTGGGGGCGTGTTAGAACGAGCCATTTTAGGTAGGTGTGGCTGACTCTTAACTTTTAGAAAGAATATCTCTTTAGATTTGAGACTTTAGTCTTTGCAACTTTACAGATCTTCTTTATGCACCAAGAGCTTGTAACACTCCAAAGAAAGGAAAAATTGAAATCGCATCATATGACCCCTTTAAGACTGGTCAGTTGTTCACAAAACCCACCGGCTTGTTGATTATGAAAAAAAGTGTCTGCATTTGAACAATAAACGAACCTGGGGTTTTAAACTTGTACATTTGGAAAACTAAATCAAAACAGTCTCATCACAACTGTCACCAGACAATACATACTTTTGTGTGTGTTTAGACTAACATGAACAGTAGTTCAGCACATCTGTCTTTATTTCTTTGGTCTGGCAGTTTAGTCCTGAGGGTCAATTTGGGATATTTTCCCATAGCTCTCACACTTGTGTACCTGGGTGTGTATACGAGAACACAGTCCCATCTTGGAAACAGATGTGGCTGGCAACATGACATCAGACCCACTAAACAAACCCCTTTCATGAGCAACACCAGACTGCGTTAGCGTCAGTTTGTGCATCATGGAACAGATCACGAAACCATGTTGCCTTATGAATCATTACACACAATCTTCCTAATAAAACATCCACATCATCTGACAACAGATCAATCAATACCACAATTCAAACAAAACTTACCAGTGCTAAATTAAGTGTAATGGAAAACATGTCCCAATACACTCCTGAGGAACACTAGAAAGAGTAATAAATCTTTGAACCAGAACTGACCCTATTGTTCTTCCATTATCTAGATGTAATATGAAGAGGCATTTACCTCCAGCAGGGTCTATCTGCTTCAGTACAGCATGTTTGGTGGTACCACCGCATTCCAGAGTCCTGTAGCCTAATAAAGCTGGATAATGACCATTTTCCACTCTCGTGTTTGATGTTTGTAACAGGGGAATTCAAAGTGCACTGTTATCTTATCTAATCATGGGAAGTTCTCATCCGCTACCAAAACACTTAGACTGTCTTATAACTGTCTTATAGATAATCTTCCATATCAATCCAGAGAGACGTTAAAGGAATAGTTCATCCCAAAATAAACATTTGCTGAATAATTTTCCTAGATTTGGAGTAATCTAGCTTTACATCACTTGACCACCAATGGATCCTCTGCAGTGAATGGGCGCCGTCAGAATGAGAGCCCAAACAGCTGATAAAACTTCTTAATGATGGATTTACTCATTACAAACATGCAACTTTTCACTTTACAAGATGTTAACTGATGGACTGGAGTTTTTAATCAACTGTTTGGACTCTCATTCTATGGCAGCCATTCACTGCAAGTCAAGTGTTAAATTTCTCCAAATCTGTACAGATGAAGAAACCAACTCATCTACATCTTGGATGGCCTGAGGACTATTCCTTTAAGACAAATTCAGGTGTTGCCGCTGTAAAGCCAGTTAATTTTTCCATATCCCTCATTAAGCAGCTGGCAACAATAAAAGCGTTTTAAAAGCCACACTGCTAATCTCAAAAGTGCACAAGCACACACAATCTTAAATCTCGACGTGTCCATGTCGTTTTGTATTCAAATGCTAGCATGATATTGTAGGAAACTTAAGCAATGCATCCTCACCGAAAACCTTAGCTTTTTTCATTTTCACCCACAGTGATAAAAACAGAACATCAGTGCAGAAAATGCACATGTCAGATGTGTAAACACTGCCAGGCTAGCACATAGAAATTGATTTCAGGCCAAGGGTGTAAAACAGACTTAAAGATGCAGGATTTAAGTGCTAAAGCCATGTGGCAGTTGTCACCCACCACAACCCAACACGCAACGCAAGACTGCCAGAGGTCCCCGGAGAGATGGCCGTTTACATTCTCCAGCACAGCCGCAAATGGACAAAACCAAACACCGTGTTCTGGCTACAGTGTGCGCCTATTTTGAAATAAACTTTGGGTAGCTTTGCAAACACAATAGCAAATGTACAATATTTGTGCAGCGGAATCAAACGAACAAAACATCCAGGCAATTCAATTAACCAAACAACCATGGAAGTAGGTTCAGGGTGTAGCAATATGTGATATGCATCATTTCAACAGTTCAACAAGCCAGACTGTAGTTAAGTAGATTCAAAAGGTTTAATTGGGTTTAATAATAAAAAAGTAAACTACAATGGAAATCTAGTTAAAAATAAATCAAGCCATGTTTTTATACACTTTTTGTATTTTTTGCTAAATGAATACAAGTTATACTAATTCATAACAGTTATATTTAATTATTATGCAAATTTGTATGCAGTGCACCAATATAAAAATATATAAGCAATATAAAACAAGACAAATGCCACATGGAGACTTAACATTTTTTGACTGATGACAAAAAAATGAAGCTGAATCAAAGTGTTGAAATGATTCACTGAACAGTCACTGAATGGACAACCACTAAAAAGACAGTTGGAAATTCTTGAAAATGAATCAAACTTCCCACCTCTAATACTTTTGAAGAATCATAAAACTAGTCTATTGACATGACCTTTAGGAAATACACGACCGTTCAAACGTTTTTGGAAATATGTGAGACACTGTAGACTGGAGTAATGGCTGCTGATAATTCAGTTTTGTCACCACAGGAATAAGTTACATTTTAAAGCTATAAACATTTCACACATCATTTCAATGTTTTTAATGTATTTTAGTGTAACACATTAAAAAAAAATCGTACCGACCCCAAAATGATAGTTTACCATGGCCAAATAAAAAAGCTCATTAAAAGACACTTTATATTACATTAGTGACATATTCATCACAACTACATAAAAATTCAGGGTCTCTCACGCAGACCTATATGGAGATGAACAAAGACAAAAAACTGAGTTGATGTGAAAGGACTCACTCACCTCAAGGTCATAGAACTCCTGAGCATCATCCAGGCCCTGGACGCGGATCTGCAGGCCCCTGTTGTGGCCTTTCCCTCCTGCTCCCATAGCTGAACCGAGGCTCTGCCCGGGCTCCAGGGTGCTGATGCCGGTGTTGTACTGAGCTCCGAGCCGTGTCCCTGCAGAGGTCTGCAAGGAGCGGTAGGTGCCCTCGATCTCACCCATAGCTGCTCCCAATGCAGCCTATCCCCTCTCGCACACACATATACACACCCCTGCCTGGAGACAACAGAACAATAAAAGAAATGACACAATGATACGAAATCTCAAGCCAGTTCTACAGGAATTTAGATCATGGTACAATCCGAAAGAACTAATCCAAGATTCAAAGATGGTGCTATTAGGAAAACAGATGAAACCGGATCTGCAGAGATAGCAATTAGAGTCTAGAATCAGGATTTTTTTTTTAAAGAAAGAAAGACAAGAATGTAATTTATGACTGGTCTGGCACCATTTTCACTGTATTAATGTTATGATAGTCAATTAAGGATATTAATTGTTATTTTATTCTTGCAACTAAACACTAATAACCATAACAGCCTAAATCATACATCTATAAACATCTGAAAATGAACATACTCCTACAGCAGACATATAAAGCACATAGTTTTTACATTTTACTTTTTGTTTTTCATTCAATTATTTTTAAAGGAAACCTAAGATTTTGCACATTTTGTTTTTTATTTGTCAAGTCAATCCTTGTTTTGGCCTATGTTAAATTTCACTGGAAAACTCAATATTAAAGAACCGATATGCAGATAAGTGTAAAAGTTCAAATATCATTGAAATATCAGCCAAAACAATTATCTAAGTAAGTGTTCAACAGATTATTCCGACATTATTTAAAGTCTCCATGTATCGACAGATCTTTTGTTATGTTGATAGATGTTTTGTTTTCTAGCTCTAAAATAATTTAAAATTAACCATGCATGGATGAATCATTTGCAATAAGATCAATGTGATGCATTTAGAAAAAAAATTTGAATTTTTACATTTAATGCCAACTTTAAAGGACAGGCATGAGTCAATCAGAGCTGATGCATTTATTGTCAACCTTGATTGACTAATTGTGGAGGTTTCAAGTCAAACATTCACAGCTGCTCTACACTTTTAAAAAAATCTGATGACATTTACATGGAAATAGAGTAATCCAATTCCCTTTCCTTCAAATGACACTTCACAAAGTTCCTGTCATTATTGGCCAGCACAATAGCAGTGACATGACCACAAGACACAAGCTCACATTAGCCATTACAAAATACTAATGCACTGCCAAATCTAGTAGTGACTTTGCATGAGGTCTGATTAACACTGGGAACACTAGAGGCATCAATGCAACACGACCAACTCGAACAAGCTCCACTCTAACTCTCTTGATCGCTAAAGCAACAGGGACAACTGAGAATAACATTCATTAAAGCCAACATCATTCAGCATGCTCTTCTGGCTCTTTAATGCAACAGGTTGGTTTAAGTAATTTAACTGGAATGCCTTCAAAGCACAGGCTCACTTACAAGCTGTGATCCAAACTGACCTATTTCCCCTCATAGGAATGAAGTTTACATTTGAGAAGGAATACTTTATCCCGGAGTTTGAGCAATTCCTACAACTGAACCAGCCAATGATCAGCGGCCATTAATCTTTTTTGTTTTAGTAATGAAAATAACTTTCTCATTGCAGGCTGCACTTGATAATGCAAAAATGCTGAAAACAATTAAATGAAAAGCCGACATAAACTCTGGAGTTGTGTAACGTTAATATAATGAGATAAAGCTGCATGGAACCAAGATAAAAAAATCTCTGCAATAGCTTAACCCCTCACGACAAACTTATTTTACTCGTCGTATTTCACTAACACCGACAAAAATATCCTCAGCTGCGACGAAAAATAAAAGCACACATTTTGCTGTTTGTCATTACAGAGATTAAACAAAGACTGAGAAAGTTTAGTCAAACCACACAAACATGCGAAGAGACCATACAACTCTATCGTATGCATCACTGAGACACGTTTAAATAAACTACTGCCAATATAACTGATTTGAAATTGCTTTTAATCTCTATTTTGAGATAAATCGACATCATACCTTTTATTTTTCGCCTGGTATTTCTTCAACTCTAAATGAGTTACACGTCCGACCGTCGTTGTAGGCGAACTGCGGCCAAAGCGCCGCTCTGATTGGACGACTTCAGACAGATCCTGCCTTCTATTGGTTCAGACTCGCACTGAAATGGTCAGCAGCTATCGGCTGAAATGTATACCTGTGGATTAATTTGATTGGTTTCGAAATGCCATGCAGTTTGATAATATATATATCCTCCTGAGACCCAGCTATGGAGTTTTTGCCTCTGTAGTGGACATTATATTTTAGTGAATTTCTCTGAGACCTCACATGTCACAGTTTTAAGTCTGGATGTCCTGTACAGAGCACATTCAGGGCTTTCCAGAGATACCAAATGATTGGATGTTTCACCATGGCCACTCCCTCTCCTTGGTTTTTAAAAATGGCTGACATTAATTTAGTGATAAAATTGTACATCCTTATGGAAATATGATACTATTTTGTAATTATAATTTAAATCTGATTAATTTTCAAATTGTTTGTCATAAATCAACATCTCAGGAAAATGTTATGGGGTTTCAAATCAAAATATGACTTCCTGTTATGAAACAGGACATCATTTCATACATGTCCACTGTAGAGGACACCAGGACTAAAAGCATGTTTATTATACATTTTGGGAGACAAAAGAATTGAATAGGAAAACAAATGATATATCAATATTCTTATGAAATATTAGATATTATTATGAAAATCTGGCCAATTACTACTCCCATTATTACACTTCTTTTTTCAACATGCTGTCCCAACAGCACTTTAATATGCAAATTAGACACAGTGTATAGATAACATTGTGCTTAATGGGAAAACCAGTTTATGGAATGTTTAAACATATTGCATAAAGCAAAATGGTATATCAAATCATTTTGTTATAATATTTTATAACATAGTTGAGAACCATCCTTAAACAAAGTTAGGCCATAATCAAACACACCCGAACCAGCTCATCATTGTCATCAAGACTACTAGAAGGCTAGGCAGGTGAGTTTTATCAGTGTTGGATCAAATCTCTGCAGGAAAGTGGCCTGGAAGGGCCAAGTTTGCCCATCACTGCTCTAACCAATGTAATGACATGAAAAAATACTAAATTCACAAAGCTTTTTATTTCTGGTTCTCAGGAGGATATAATATAATATAATATAATAATAAATGTACATTAAATAGTATTTAACAAATAAAAAACAAAAGTCAAACTATTGTTTTGTGTTGAAGTGCTGCCTAAAATACTGTCTAGTTACAGAGCTGTTGCTAGTTATAGGAACAAAAAAAAAAAAAAAAAACTCTAGTTGTATCTATATCATATTTCCAGGAAATGTAAAATTACAGGAAAACCAAATAATGAAATATTGTTTGTTCACATGCAAAATAAGGGAAGTTTCAAGCTTCACATGTAAGGTGACATTCAAAACAGTGAACATATAAGCAAATAAGTGTGGAAAGTTGAGGTGTCAAATGACCAAAAACTGACAAAAATGGAATAGAGGGATATGGATTATATTACAAAATGTATTTAAACAGAATGAAAAATAACAGAAGGGAATAAGCATGACATGCACAGTACATTAGGCTACCTAAAAAATAAAATAAATAAAAAAAAAAGTCCACATTTGCAAGCTGGAGCAAGAATAAATACTGACCACATTATTTGTTGCAAACCATAGAAAGTAGTTTCAGTGTTTCTTAAATCCCATGCAGAGATGTTTGAAGTTGTTCTGTAAAACCAGACACATAAAATATATATAAACCAAGACCAAAAGACCAACTGACCAACTGGCAGTAGTTCAGTTAAATTATACATAGATTGTACATATAATTATTTACTCATTTATTTTAAGTCAGTAAGTGAAAAAATGCAAATTGCAATGTAGACAATCTCTTATTTAAAGCATTTTGTGGTTGGAAGTTCAAGGACCCCACTGCGTTGTTTCAGCAGGCGTGTGGCTGTCTGTAGGACATGATACCGCTGACGAAGATGACGTCTCTGCACATGTTCATTGGTGATCTCTACAACACATGCAGCGGAGAACCAGCCCCGCTGTCCGTCCTGTACCCTGCGGCCTTCCAGAAACCCTACAAAAGACCAGAAATGAGAGAATTAGCATGCCAATTCAAAAAACGTTCATTGATTTTAGACTTATTGAATTCGGAATGGCAGGGTTGTGTTGCAACAGTACCCTCTGAAGTCTTCTGCATGACGTTGATCATATCTCCCAGCTGTAGACTAAGCTCCCCTTGTTGTTGTCCACTGTACACCTCTATACATCGCACCTGAGGACAGTCTTAGACACAGTGCCTATTTGATTCAAATTTGTACATTGTTTATTTTTGTATTTATTCACAAATGTATTATAATTCTAAAGAGCATCTACACTGCAGTTAAGTGTTTGCTCTGGTTAAGAACAGATGTTTCCCATTTTTGGAAACACAATCTTGAAGCCATTGACACTTTTGCCCCCTAGTGGACAATGTGTAGCTGCACAAGCTATTGTTTATTGTACCGTATAATATTACATATTATTTATAGAACTGCCAAAGTTAAAAAATTTTGTACATACTGTCATTGAATAACACTTATAAGCAAAACACAAGATCAGACATATATTCATATAAATATGTGTTCTGTTATGTGATATTTAGATGTAACCTAACTGACCCCAAATCAGTGTTAGGCATGTATGTAATATATAATAATACAAAGAAAAGTATTATTATTATAATATTATATAATAATGAAGGATGAAGGATAAAAATGAAATATTTTCCATTGTTCAATTAAAGAAATTAGTCAAAAAAACAAAGATGGTGTCATTATGATATATGTATTATAATATTTTTTTTGGCTTCTGTTGAACTGACACAAACAAACACACATAAAAACAAGTATTGCATTTAGTGATTCATTCTCACCCCACTCTTCATACACGGTATCCTGTCCATCTCGCTGTCCACCCAGGAGCTGCATCCACGAGTCCTTCTCAGCTCTAAGAAAACAAGAAGAAGACACGTGTTTATTGAGGGAAACTACATAGAGTTGTGTATGTTTTGTAATGATTTGCTTTGATCTTGCCATAAAGACCATGTTGTGTCTGACAGTTTGATGGTTCTTTGCATTGGATACTAACTCTGAATTTGTTTGCAGTAGGAGTTGAGAGGTGGCGCTCCGGTGATTATGCAAAAGGACGAGCCTAAATATCCGGTCCAGCTCACATCCCTCCAGCTCCTCCTCCAGATCTTTGCCCTTGGTCACTTCTATCAGAGAGCGGTGCACGTAGTCATGAACTACAAAACGATCCAACCTGCATTCATAAAAGACATTAACACCTTAGGATGGGTAGGTATACAGACAAAAATGTGACCCTGGACCAAGAAAGCCAGTCTTAAGGGTAAATTTAAGTACATTTAAGTTTATATATCATCTGAAAGCTGAATAAATAAGCTTTCTACCGATGTATGGTTTGTTAGGATAGGACAATATTTGTCCGAGATTATTTGAATATTTGATTATTTGAACTATTTGAATATCTGGAATCTGCGTGTCCAAAATATTGGGGGGAAAAATGCCTTTAAAGTTGCTCAAATTAAGTCCTTAGCAATGCATATGATATTACTAATCAAAAATTACGTTTTAATATATTTACGGTATAGGAAATTTACAAAATATCTTCATGGAACATGATCTTTAATTCCACCAGTCACAATAGTGACCATAAAAAAGGTTTTCATTTATAAAACTCTAAAATCCTTACTGACTGATGTTTTAGTGCACTTCCTGCAAATATGGAAAAAAATAAAGGGTCTCAATCAAATATGTGCAGTTTCACATGATTAGTGCAAATTGTCACATGACCAGAGCAGTTTATTTCCTGTTTGCACCTTGAGAAGATGATAACTGCATCAAAGCTCCAAAACGAAAGGCTAGTAAAGTGTTAACTTAAAGATATGACAAAGATTTTTGGTACACGCTATCTTTAAGGTTTCTATTAATAGATGAATTCACATATATTCATTTTTGTTGAATGTGGTCATAGAATGAGTAAACATCTTGATGGTCACAAAAGTGACCGGTGGGATAACAGTGAACACTCTTAAAAATAAAGGTGCTTAAAAGCTTCTTCACAGCGATGCCATAGATTCAGTCAAAGGTTCTTTAAAGAACCATCTCTTTCTTACCTTTTTGTAATCTGAAGACCCTTCTTTTGCCACAAAGAAACAGACTTTTGTGAAACAGAAAGGTTCTTCAGATGTTAAAGGTTCTTTATGGAACCATTTAGACAAAAAAGGTTCTTCTATGGCATCATGAAGCACCTTTATTTTTAAGAGTGTACAATATAAATCCAATTGCAGTTGTTAGTGAAAATTACACTATAATGTTGCAATGACAAAATATTGCACTAAATTAAAAGGTCAAATGTTACAAATAAGTTACAATATTGATGTTGTAATACTGGTAGCACTAATATAAACATCTGATGATATATTTTACAAAAAGTAACAATTTTGAAAAACGTTGAAGGTTGTATTTTTTTGTCTTTTATCTCAGTGTTCCTATCAATGTTGTATAAGGGTTTTTTATGCATAATAATAATAACCCTAGAATGTGATCAAACAGTTTAAAATAGCTGGGCTGAGATATATAACAATTTTTATGACTGCAGAAATATGTTAATTCAGTACACACATTATCCCACCGGTCACCATAAAACACAATTTTTCACAAAAAAGGTTTCAATAAAAATGTCAAAAAAATAATTATTGATTATTTCAAAGGGTTACTAATGACACATCATTTGGATATTTTCATGACTGGGAAAAGTTTGGGATTAAACGGGTTAATATCCTAATGATTTAAAAGAAAAATGGATAATTTTGACCCATACACTGCTACTTATGACTGGTTTTGTGGTCCAGGGTCACAAATGACCATCTGCTGCAGCTATAGTGTTTAAAAGTTTGGGTCAGTAAGATTTTTTAAAAGAAATTAATACTTTTATTCAGCAATTAAATGAATCAAAAGTGACAGTAAAACATTAATAACGTTACAGTGATTTTAGTTTCAAATAAATGCTGTTCTTCTGAACTTTCTATTCATCACAGAATCCTTAAGAAATGATCAGAGTTTCCAAAAAAGCAGGACAAATGTTTTCAACATTGATGATAATAAGAAATGTTTCTTGAGCACCAAAGCAGCATATTAGAATGATTTCTAAAGGATCATGTGACGCTGAAAACATGACTGCTGAAAATTCATCACAGTAATACATTATATTTTAAATATTAAAACAAGACAGTTATTTTATTTGTAATTTTATTTCACAATATTACAGTTTTTACTGTATTTTTCATCAATTTAGAGATTTAAGAGACTTCTTTCAAAAACATAAAAAATTTGGTAAAAAATAAATGGTATAGTGTATGTCAATCTTAGATTGACAATCATTGACAATCTATTTATCCATAAAGGCTATCTATAAAATAAAACTTAGCAATACTTGTACACAGTATATCAATACCATATCAGTTATTGGCCAGTTTTAGAGGTTTCTTTATTTATTGGTATCTGTGAATATATTTATCATGCACACTCATATCCTCTATTTTAACATTTAGATTACCTTTTCTTTCATCTAATGCTCATTAAAATCACTCTTTAAAAAACATTCATCTTTAGCAAATCTCAAAATAAATATTTTCGTACTGTGCAATGATGTTGTTTGACGTTTAAATCAATTTGTGGCATTTAAAACTATTTTTATTCAAATAAATGATTTTATTCATTTATTTGGATAAAACAGCTCAGAATTTAAATATTGTCCATTTGTTTGTTATTGGCCATAATATAATTATCGATATTCAGACACATTTTAATATCAGTGCAAACCAGATAGATAAAGAGTTGCATCTGTCACATTAAATAACGGAGACATCCATTAGATAGAAGATATCTAAGGAACAATCCATCTTCCTAGAAACTAAAACCTAATGAAAATAAGTAAACATTTAAATCAGCTCATTTGATAAACTAATTGATTTGGCTCTCCTACCCTTTCCTGGTGGCCACCAGCAGCAGATCATTAAAGAGGAACAGAAGTACAGGACACTGTTTTCTCTGGCCAAACATGTTTTCCTTCAACAAGATTTGCACCAGATCTCCCTGCTTCACAAGCCAGCGGGAGGAGGACACAAGAGCCAGGGCCTGAGAGAGACAGAAAGATCCAAAAACAGACAGACATCGATGAAAAGAGTAAATTTCACATTACAAAATGTATATGTAAACAGGTTCCCAGCGACCACCTGCAGCTACAGTACCTTGCATGCAAACTCAATCTTGTTAGCAATCTGCACTATTTCTTCCATCTGTTTCATTCTCCCCACCTGCCAGTTGCAAGCTTCTAGAAGCTGTAGGTGAAGACAGCACAAAGCATACAACATAATGCAGCAAACTGATTTTTATACAATAGCAGTCATTGAGAAAATGTTTAGCAGCCAGCTTGGCATTCATACCCTGGAGATCTCCGTCAGAGCTCTCAATGCTGAGGCCTCACAGTCTGACCCTGGAACGGCCTTCTTCTGGATATTCTGCATTGCATCGAAATGTTTGACATATTCAGTGATGTAACATTTAAAAACAATTAAACATTCTCATGCTAATTATGCTAGTGCTTCTCATCACTCACCTCCATTAGGATTTTAAGCCGTGTGATTCTCTGAAATGGCAGTGAAAGGAAAGATTTGAGGGGAAGGCGGTTGCATCGAGGGTCTTCCTGTAGTTTATGCAAGATCTCCACAATCTGAGGACTCTCTTTTCTGATCACAGTACAACATAGATTATAAATATATTAGATTTTCAACAACAGACACTTTATTCATAAACATCTGTAGAATACAGTCCAACCAATTTGCATTCCTAATATACATGATAAATAAACATCAAGAACTATTATTTTACCCAAGGTTGTGTAATGTCTGCTCCTGATAGGGCATATTACGGATGTAATTTATATAAGCATCAAAGGGTCCAAGAGCATATTGGTGTACAACATCACAGATTATGTCGCAGAACACACTTGAGGCCATCTCCAACAGCATCGCATCCATGAAGCTAAGAAAAGAGTTTACATAAGATATAGGTAAGTATTTGGACACTTAAAGGCACAATATGTAATTTTCGCCGCTAGAGGGCGCGTATTCAAAATAAACAAAGAGACAAAGGCGTATAGAATGAAGCAGGGTGAGGCTGAAAGCCGTCAAAGCGAAACGAGGCCGCTGAAGCTCCGCAGCGGAGCTTTTATTATGCCACAGTCGACTGCTTCCGCTCCTTCCGGTGGTGCGTATGTGGGGTAAAGCAGCGCTGTTTTATCATACTAGATACATTTGAAAGTTATGTTATAATGCTACTCTGTGCGGTCGTCATCGGTCTATTAAAACGCACAACATATTAAAGCGTCTTTGGTGTTTCCATGTTTTCTACAAAACAAAACCAGAAATCGAGGGTGTATGACGTCATTGGCAGGCGACACAATGACACTATGGACAACGGTCCGTGTCACTAATTAAAATTGCTTATTTCTCTGGATTTAAACATTCTTCGAAACATTTGGGATAATGTAAGTACACAAGTCAGCAAAATATATAACACTGCTCTAGTGGTTTTTGGATATTTTAATAAAAAAATCGTACATATTGTGCCTTTAAGTCACAATTAAAAGCATTATACAACATATAGCTTAAAACGTGGCATATGCAAATGAATGATACTAAAACAATTTCCACAACTAACTTTTCGGAGTCACTTTTACAATTATTTTTTATTTAATGGTGATTTTTCATGGATGTATGAAGTCACTTAACTTTAAGTTCACATAAGTTCATCAAACTGATATATGAAAATGTTTCAACAGAAAAGTTAACCAGAAAGTGTTCAGTAAAAATAGTAATAATGTGAAATATTATTACAATTTAAAATAACTGTTTATAATGTTATTCCTGTGATGGCCAAACTGAATATTCAGCAGCCATTAATGCAGTTTTCCATGTCACATGATCCTTCAGAAGTAATTCCAATATGTTGATTTGAGGTTCAAGAAACATTTCCTATTATTATCAATGTCAAAAACCATTGTGCTACTTAATATGTTTGTGGAAATGATGCTGCATTTTTAGGATGGCTTTTTGAAGCATTTATTTGAAATATAACTTTGTTGTAAGAAAGTCTTTGCTCTCAATGTTGATCAATTCATCACATTATAAAATTATTACAAAATGAACCCAAACTTTGTTTGAATGGTAGTGCACATAAGAAGTAATATCATTATATACAGGCCCAACATTATAATCTTCTGAACATGACAATGAACACAGGAAGCAATCAGATCTAAATGTTTTCTCCTCAGACATTTATTCTGCAGTCTTGCTAAACAGACTTTATATTGAATACACAATGTCTGGTTCGTACCTTTGACTGATCTCTTTGATCTTTGCAATGCTAGAAAACAATGACTTTCTGTCTCTTGGTGCCAAAGCGTCTTTCAGCACTGAAGATTCTTGAAAATGCTCCACAGCCACCGTCAAGCTCTGAAGATAGGACTGCTCAGTTGTAACAACCTCATACAGATGCTGGTAAAGGGTTGAAGGGATGTGAATGACAGGCAAAGGCAAAGAATTTTGGGAGAAAGTGTGGAGAACATCAGAGAACATAAATATAAAGTAGACGTCATGAAAAACAGGTATTACCAATTTTTATACACTTTAGGGTACCTCTTGAAGCTTTAGCTGTTCCTTACTGAGCCGATGTAGTATTCCACTGTCTCTTACAATGTTTCGGGCTTGCCACAAGTTCTCCATTAACTTTGTCTTAGTATCAGCACACATGCAGTTGCAGCCTCTCTTAGAAGGGCTTTTGATCAGTTTGTCCACCAAACCAGGAAGAGGCAGCATTGTTGGAGTCCTTTGAGAAGTTTCAAGTACGTTCTTAGAGAGATTCTCCCCATCTGTTTCTTGGTATTTTATCACAGAAGGAACGTCCTCTGGGCTCTCTCCATTGGAAACACCTGAGATTTCTCCATCGGTCAGTCTTTTGGTGTGAAAGCACACTGGACACATTTCTAACTGAGAGTTACTAAACATTTCCGCAGCATGATCTCCTTTAGCCTTAAATACTTTGGGCTTTTTGGTGCTACAATCTCTCTCTTTAATTGCTCCTAAGAATGTTTTGTGTAGCTCAGAAACCAAACTTTCCCTGACAAGGTCGCTGAGCAATCCAACATCATTGTGCTCAATTTTGGTTTTATTGTGGACCCTGAAAGCAGGAATTGGTTTTGACAGAGATGGATGTGGAAGGGGTTTGCCTTTGGGACAAACCTCAGAAGCTGGAGAGAACAAGAGAATCATTGCAAGGTAAGATTTAACAATGAAATACTACTACACAGTGATAATGATGGTGGCATTAGAGTACCTGATTGTCTGTGGGGCAGCACTGGTGAGCTGGAGCATTCAGACTGGACTGGTGTTGTGTCTACATCCATATAAACTCCCTCATCAATATCATTCTTTGGTGCTTTGCCAAGAAAAATGGATAACACAAGATCCTCCATTCAGACTGCTGACACATTGGTTCTCAAACAATAAGTTGAAAAGTGCTTGAAAGTGCTTTATACACATCTTATGTTTGGAGCCCCAAATACCCTAGTGATTTATATGTAACAATAATTAAAAAATTAAGCTGTTCTGCCAACTCTTACATTTATGCATTTAGTAGACACGTTTCTCCAAAACGTTTTAGGTGGTACAAAGGGCCTTGGGGTGTTAGACCCAAAACATGAAGGGTAAAAATGGACTATATGATAGTTGGTGTATTTTTGGCTCGAGAGATTCCTGTAAGTCACAAAGCAATGAGAAATCAATTCAAATCATTATGGCAAATGAACACTCACCCATCATGGAGATCATTTGCTCTGGCTCTTTGGGAAGAGGTCTGGCAGGTACAGGTATGCTCGGAGGGACTCGTTTTGATTTATGTGAGGTAGTTTTTGGATGACTGTGCCAGTTTTCCAAATGAGTGTCATTATTCTTTCCATCTGTGGAAACAGTTTGGTGAATGTTTGCCAGTGGTTCACAGATTTACTCACATCTGCTGTCATGACAGTAGGATGTTGTCCATGCAGGACTGGTTTTGCTCAGTCATCGTCTAGGAGTTTATGTTTATAAATTGGAATTACTTATTCTGTGTGGTGTACCTGAACAAGCTTGGTCTGATGTAGGTGTGACATAATTCATAATGATATTATGGACAGGCTGTGATTGCTTAACATGAATCTGCGTCTTCAGAAGATGAGGTTTTGGGATTGGTTTTATCTTTGGGGGAGCGACCAGACCATGAGTGGCAATTACTTGGCGTGGGTTTTGTGCCGCTGTGGAGTGCTGGGTGGCCTGGCGTTGGTGGTCCTTCTCTTGGACATCTCTCCTCAAAATAAAGTCTGTCGCTCTGTGCCATTTCTCACCCTTAAGCGGAGGTTTAGGGGGACAGTAAGTTTTAGACGCAGGAAAGTTTTGGCATGGATATAGTTCTCTGTATCCATCTGGCCCTGGCATGGCCTTCGGTCGCCTGTAAGGAAGAGCAGATGGGAGCACAATGCTACTTATTACTTGTCAGTGTAAATTTTGTCAGATGATTATAAAAATTTGTGGCTACACTTTGTTATAGGGACCAATCCTTACTATCAATTGCTTATTAGCATGCCTATTATTAACATATTGGCTGTTTATTACCCAATACCTAAACTTAACAACTACCTTACTAACCATTAATAAGCAGCAAATTAGGAGTTCACTGAGGCAAATGTCATGGTTAATGGTTTGTTAATGGCGAGAATTGGACCTTAAAAAAAAGTGTGACCAAATTTGTCTATTTAAGTAATGGAAATTAAAGATCTTTTGATTTTAGAAGTAATTGTGCAATTACATATAAAGATGTGATATAAATTTACACTATAATGCATTTTAATTTAATTGCAAATAGCATGCAATTAAGTTTCTGCACATTCAGTTTGCACAAGTATGTTTTTAAGTATATTATTTCCATAAGAAGTTTTTTTTTTATAAGTATGCCAAAGTATACTTCTGCTTCTCAAGAGAAGGTAACTGTATTCCACTACCCGATCATGTCATTTCAAACATGTCTGACTTTCTTCTGTTTTGGTTCCCATTGACTTTCAATGTATGGATAAAATAAAATAAAAAAAACCCACAATTGAAGTCGATAGGAACTAAAACGGTTTTGTTACCCAACATTCTTCAAAATATCTTCTTTTTGTTTTCTGCAGAGGAAAGAAATTCATACAGGTTTGGAACAACATGATGTTTTGGGTGGACTATCCCATGTGTAAAGGTCCAGACAGAGAGAGAGAGAGTGATCTGATCTGACTGCACATAAGAGCTCAGACAAACTTGCCTTTTTGTTTGTGCTCTCTGAAAAGTGATGATTCAGCATATTGGCCCAGATGGACTTTGAATGATCTCATTTAAGAAAAAAGAAAAGTAATTTGTTGACACTTGATGTGTCTGTACACTGAGAGTTAAAATATGTGCTAATACATAACTACAGATTCTCATATACTGAAACATTTTGTGCACTGATAATATGTTTTCTTTAAGTACTTAATGGCTGACAAGTGGGAACATTTTACCTACAACCTACCACACACACACACACACACACACACACACACACACAGACATAATTCATAATGATATTATGGACAGGCTGTGATTGCTTAACATGAATCTGCGTCTTCAGAAGATGAGGTTTTGGGATTGGTTTTATCTTTGGGGGAGCGACCAGACCATGAGTGGCAATTACTTGGCGTGGGTTTTGTGCCGCTGTGGAGTGCTGGGTGGCCTGGCGTTGGTGGTCCTTCTCTTGGACATCTCTCCTCAAAATAAAGTCTGTCGCTCTGTGCCATTTCTCACCCTTAAGCGGAGGTTTAGGGGGACAGTAAGTTTTAGACGCAGGAAAGTTTTGGCATGGATATAGTTCTCTGTATCCATCTGGCCCTGGCATGGCCTTCGGTCGCCTGTAAGGAAGAGCAGATGGGAGCACAATGCTACTTATTACTTGTCAGTGTAAATTTTGTCAGATGATTATAAAAATTTGTGGCTACACTTTGTTATAGGGACCAATCCTTACTATCAATTGCTTATTAGCATGCCTATTATTAACATATTGGCTGTTTATTACCCAATACCTAAACTTAACAACTACCTTACTAACCATTAATAAGCAGCAAATTAGGAGTTCACTGAGGCAAATGTCATGGTTAATGGTTTGTTAATGGCGAGAATTGGACCTTAAAAAAAAGTGTGACCAAATTTGTCTATTTAAGTAATGGAAATTAAAGATCTTTTGATTTTAGAAGTAATTGTGCAATTACATATAAAGATGTGATATAAATTTACACTATAATGCATTTTAATTTAATTGCAAATAGCATGCAATTAAGTTTCTGCACATTCAGTTTGCACAAGTATGTTTTTAAGTATATTATTTCCATAAGAAGTTTTTTTTTTATAAGTATGCCAAAGTATACTTCTGCTTCTCAAGAGAAGGTAACTGTATTCCACTACCCGATCATGTCATTTCAAACATGTCTGACTTTCTTCTGTTTTGGTTCCCATTGACTTTCAATGTATGGATAAAATAAAATAAAAAAAACCCACAATTGAAGTCGATAGGAACTAAAACGGTTTTGTTACCCAACATTCTTCAAAATATCTTCTTTTTGTTTTCTGCAGAGGAAAGAAATTCATACAGGTTTGGAACAACATGATGTTTTGGGTGGACTATCCCATGTGTAAAGGTCCAGACAGAGAGAGAGAGAGTGATCTGATCTGACTGCACATAAGAGCTCAGACAAACTTGCCTTTTTGTTTGTGCTCTCTGAAAAGTGATGATTCAGCATATTGGCCCAGATGGACTTTGAATGATCTCATTTAAGAAAAAAGAAAAGTAATTTGTTGACACTTGATGTGTCTGTACACTGAGAGTTAAAATATGTGCTAATACATAACTACAGATTCTCATATACTGAAACATTTTGTGCACTGATAATATGTTTTCTTTAAGTACTTAATGGCTGACAAGTGGGAACATTTTACCTACAACCTACCACACACACACACACACACACACACACACACACACAAGCCCTAATTTCCTTTTTGTGGGCACAGCTGGTAGTGAAAAGAGCTGTTGTTGGGATTTCCCACTTTTCCCATCTCAGGAGATCCGGTCACACATGTCTCTGCTTGCTGTCAACTCAGCTATACTGTATCATCTAAGACATTCCTACTAAATTGAGTCGAGCAGATAATGTTTCCTTGGCTTTCTGCTAACTAAGTCACCTTTATAATGGAATGTGGAAATTTCCCACTTTTCATAAATGTCACAATGATTGAAAAAGTAGGGAAAACCAACATGCCCAGTAATGAAGTAATTGTTTTTATATGGGTACACTGTAAAAAAAAATCTGTAAAATGTACGGTAAAAAACCGGCAGCTCTGGTTGCCGGAATTTTACTGTAAAAAATACGGTAGCAACACACACAACCCTAATATACAAAACTGATAAGAAAAAACAGTTATTTCAACATAAAAACAACAAATTTGAAATGTAACGCAGGGAATTCTGGGAATGTCAATTTACGGTTATTCACTGTAAATTATGTTTTTTTTTCACTTCCAAAAACGGTATACTACCGTAAAATTAATGTCCAATACATGTAATGTCCAATACAGTTTTTCACCGTATATAGTAGGGGAATTTACCGTTAACCATTTAACAGGTTTTTACTGTAGCATTTTTACAGTCTTTTACCGTTAAATTCACGGTCATTTTTTACAGTGAAGGGCAAGAGGAGCTTGTAGGTAAAGTTCAGCCACTGCCCCAATTAAGAACTGAACATTTTTTATGTTTTTTTTTTTTTATTAAAGTAAACATGCACTGTAATAAAAAAATGATTGTATTAATTAGTTTTAAAAAGATTTTTTCAAATTAACTTTTCAATGAATTTTAAAAACATGTTAAATGGTTAATAGCAAACTTTCCTCACTATATACAGTGAAAAACTGTAATAAATCTAACAGGACATTTCATATAGGCATTTGTACAGTAAAATACTTTACAGCTTTTGTAAAGAAGTGAAGAACAAGTCATCATATAATTTACATTTTATAACTTTTATTTTCTATTTCTGTGCATGACTACACCTTGTGTGCATGTGTGCACCTTCTATATAGAATTTACCTCAGTTTGTAGAAAAGTTACTTTTGATAAACTTTATTCCACATGCGGCTTTCTCATTACCACCTGTGTTTTTGGTGCTTGTCAGTGTGTTAAAAACGTACAAAACAAATTTTAGTACTTCAGTAGTTTGATGTATTTACATAACAGTATATCAGTAAATAGTCATCTAGTAATTAGTTATTAATCTCGGAACAACTGAATATAACAAGTGGCTGACCTTATAGTCCATTTTCCCCTGCAATGAAATGATCGTGAGAAAACAATGCAGTCAGTGTACCCAATACCCATAGAAATCCTTGTCAAATCTCTTTTTCAAAAGCTTCAAGACACAACAGATAGAAGATAAGAAAGATGCATCTTGGATATGTGCATTTGAGAATGAAGGGCCAGACACTATAATTCCACACAAACATATGTGATGGTTTGGGTGTAAACATTTAAAATGACTTTATACAAGCAAAAACCCTTATGTATATACTGTATGTATTTATGTAAACATTTTACAACCATTACTTTCATACTAATGTTTCTCATCTATTAAACCTCATAATTTAAATTTTGTATCAATGTTTCTGTAAATACACTTGCTATTAGACATAGCCATATAGTAGATGTATTATTGTATTATAATAAGACATAAACATATATTCCCATATTATATTAAAATAATTATTAAAACTAATATTAAGTAAACAAAAACTTCCACTTACCTCGGTTTGTATTCACTGCTTTTAATTCTGAAATGTTGTCCACCTCTTGATGCTTTGCGAACTCAATAAATTGATACCTTCAGCCAACACTAACTGATTCTACCTAACAGTGGGAATGCTATGTGTTTCCATCACACAACTCTATCCCTTGTAACTGTTGAATTCAGTCTCGACTTCAAATGTAAAGAGGGGAGGGAAAAAAGAAGACCCGTCCCGACACGCCAGTGTAAAGGTAATCAGGTAAGAAGTCTGGAATCCACTCATAATGCATCCTTAGTGTAAATTATACTTGGGTTATTAAAACAAAATACAGATGTTGTTATAAAAATCATAACACAAAACTAGTCACAATATCAGAACAATATATAGTCAAAAAGAAAGGAGATTTTGGCTGGGTTGGAATGGCATTCAGTTATATTTCATACATTCCTCCTATTAAAAACAGTTACTATTTGCATCATTTAGGTGTACTTGTGTTGTTTAATAAGAAACATAGGTGTTATAGAGGTAAGGTGTTTAGTTTTCAATATTTTACACATCTCTTCCATATGGTGTTCTCCAGAAAAACACAACATGTTCTTATGAAAC